TTTGACAAAAAAAAAAAAAAAAAACAAAAAAAAAAAACAAAAACAGTGACAGCTGATGATAATTTTTTTTTTTTTTCAAAAAAGGATGCTTTACTAAATATATGACACATTCGGAACTGCAAATTGCCCTCAGAGACATTGTTTAGACAGTGACATTTGAATTTGATTCAATTTTAGAGGACGAAACGAGTTGTCAAAATTGGATTATTTTGCCCCTTCTCCTCCCGTGCATGTGACGTGAGCGCGTGTACTTACTTGCACAGCGCGATTACACACACACACACACACACACACAGCGAGGAGCCAGTCTATCGGCTTCGCCAATCGTGAAAAGTTGATAAGATAACTCAAGAGCAGTAATACAACACACATACAGACCACCCGGAAATCCCGTGCTGTATGCACTTCCTTTCATTTATTTTATTTATTATTATTATTATTATTATTTTTTTTTTTTTCAGCACGCAACATATAACGATGATACATCAACAAATACTCGATGATAAATTCATACAAGCAAAGTCCAACGGTACGGATGAAAAATTAATTTGCATACACGAGCGACGAGTCGAGCGAAAAGTAAAACTAAATATAGATTCGGTAAAAAATGAAACACTATACGAGTACCCGAGAGGGGCGGTGGAATAAAAAAAAGTATTGATGTTTACAGGCACACACGCACACACACACACGCGTGCGCAAAAGGGTAAGTAGGTACTTTGGTGTGACTTTGTCTCGCTGCTGAATTTCGGAGGAACAGGAACACAACAGGCGGCATCAGCATCCGCGGTAAAATGCACTCCGGCTCACGCGAGAAGCCGTCCCGAGGCCATCGGAGAGCAAAAGTGATGGAAAGTCGGATAGGTGAGCCGTGTACTTTTGTTCCTCATTTTGTCCCGTGTTTTTATTTACCCCGCGATTTTCATCGTGCCGGCGCGCGGAGCACATCTCGACTACACGGACGGCCCCAATTTCCCGAATAGAGCCCGAGCGATCAAAGAGCGCTCCCATATACACACGGCTCCCCGCCGCAGTTTATCTAGGTTACACTGCACACCCTACCCTACGCTCTTTTGCGCGTACATATATATATATACCAAACACTCTCTCTCTCTCTCTCTCTGACGTGTATTCTTACGTGAGCTAAGCGCGCGCGTGTAGTATACAGCGAGCCGGCTTGAGTTGCCGATTATCGATCGTCTGTATATTGTCTTTCTTTCTCCAAAGTGTATTACATAGAGGCGTTTTCAAAGGATATTACTCAAGTGTAAACATGAGGCTCTCTCTCTCTCTCTCTCTCTCTCTCTATCTCTTTGCATAGACTTTTCTTTATTGTTGTGTATTGTTGCTGAGAGCCATTTGTTCCTCGATTAAAAGTCCATGCCAAAGACCGGCGCTTTTTCTACCTACACTCAAATCGTATTGTTTTTTTCTTCGGCTCTCGCAAAATATTCGACATTTGCGTGCTTTTTTTTACAATTGTATCATTATCTTGTTGTCACGAGTACTGATTTGGGCGATAAATATACAATGTTAGCCTTCGCGAAAGTCATGCATGGAAAAATATATTGTTACGTAGCGTAAACATTGCCAGTTGAAAGCGAGAAAATTGCATCGTCAAAAAGCCACTGAAACAGATCGGTATTTACGCGCGATAAGAGCATCCGATTTCCCCAGTGACCAATATTACTCCCAAGCTCAGTTAACGAAGTTGCGAGGATAATTTTTTTTTTATTTCGATAAACAAGTGGGAACAAAGAAATCGAATCCAGCTCATCCCTATCAAGAGCTATTGAGCTCATCGATCGATCAAATTGCTGTCGAGGCTCGGCGATCGCGCAACTTATTTTATTGTTTCTTATTATCGTATGTGCCAATTACTTTGGGGTCCGTGTATTTATGCCATTTGTCAATTAAAAATGCGCGTTTTCATACATACAGTTAAACATACGTATAGGAATAGTTACCTTGAGCCGCTGAAATATGAAATCTTTGGACGATCTTCAGTGTCAAATCATTCCAACGAGTAATCAAGACAATACACCCGATCCTCCTCGAAGCAGAAGTTTTTTTTCTCTTTCCACACGCGATCCTCGGATACGAGACACCTCGACGCGAGCACACGTATACCTATTGTTGTGATAGTTTAAGCAAACGAGGCTAGTTATGATATATATATATTCTGCCTAATCAATCCCACTTACACGCAATTAACACTCACTTTACAAGCACCGATGCTATAAGGACTTGTTGTGCGCCACCGTCTAACCTGACGAGCTTACCGATGTATCCATTAATTAGTAAATCAATTAATTTCTATTATTGTTAATTTTTTTTTTTTTTTTAATATCTGAAGCTAATTAGGATAAAAAAATATATATATATATATTGAATAGGGCAGTGCTCAGCGACTAAGAAAATCGGCAGCGTTCGGCACGTCTGGTTGTATCCAAAGACGATCGGATACTAGATTTATATATATATATATATATATATATATATATATATAATTGTAAATGTATGTGAAGATGGTCAACGTCGCCATCCCTAAGAAGTTAATAACTCCTCTTATTTCGTTAATCGTTGCAAAAACAAAACAATTGTCATTTGTCCATGTCTCTGATTCTCTTTTTTAAGTTAATACGTACTTCGTTCAACGAAACGACGATAACCCGTTGCGTTTGTATAAATGTAGTTGTAACAATTTTGTATGTTTATGAAACGACAAATAAATATTATAAATGGAAAAAAAAAGAAAATTAACTAAAAAAAAAAATCACTTGTTCAGCGGCACTGCCGCCGCATCCACTCGTTCCACCTGCACTTGCTTGTCCCCAGCCTGAACCTAGAAACAAAAAAGTGATGTATACTTTTGTTGATTTAAACTTGAAAAAAAAAAAAAAAAAAAAAAGAAAAAAAGAAAAAACACAAAGTTCGTACGTATTGGCCATCCGAGCGCAGACTTCGCGGTCCAATGGTACTGAGGACCACTGGCAGCAGTAGCAGTCCGTGCCAGAGCCCGAAGATAATGACGAGGAGAAAGATCTTGAAAAAGGTCCGGAACACGTAGGCGCGCGATAACGAAAGCAGCGACAGGGCCAGCAGGGTCGAGCCCGCACCAAAGAGCACGGCCGAGCCAATGTGGCGCACGGCGATCAGGGCCCTTGCCGACCTGTCGGCTCGTGGCTCGAGATTCCCTGAGCTGCTGACGTTGAGAAAGGCGTGCGCCACGTGGGCCGCGTAATCCACGCACAAGCCCACCGCCAACTCGAGACCTTTTCAACAACACGTGTTTTACCATATTGCAGGTCCATTTCTTTTTTCAGGCATAATATAATGTGTACACCCACCTATGCACGAGACGACGTCGATGGTCATGCCCCAGAAGTACATGAAGCCGCAGACGTCGAGCAGCGTCAACAGGACGCAGCTCAGTATCCAGAAGCAAGTCTGGAGCTCGGCCACGAGGATCGCGGTCATGCCCATCACACAGACAAGCGCGAGAATCAAGTTCCTCACTACCTCCTGGGATATGACCTTGTCCGTGACCCACGAGGCAAAGACCTACACGTTATAGAAAAAAAATACGATACTTTTGACGTTGGGATCCGGCAACATCGATACATTCATTTAAAAGCATATTTTAATAAGCTCATCGAGCACTTTACCCCACGATAGCATATGCTAAAACCATGCAAAATTACGTGAAAAAGTTTTGCCAAACTCACCTCGCTCCAAACCGTGACGAAGCCCCCTTCGCTGTCCAGACCAAACGTGGCGACCGTGTCCTTCGCGCCGTCCATCCCGGGAATCCACTCGTACGGCGAGGTAAACTTGACAAAGTTGAAGTCTATGCTTGCCATCAGCAGCTTCGGCGCCGGCTCGCCGCAGGTCAAGTTGTTGCCGTCGGCGAAGCGAAAGTTGCGCCGGTACTTGGCCCCCACTCGGCTGTACAGGAACTTGGACAGGTAGACGCTAAACTCGCTCTCCGCCAGCGTACCGTTTTCCGCATCTGAGGATTTTTTTTTTTTTTTTTTTTTTTTTTTTTTTTTTTTCCCCCCCCGGGGGGTGTTTGGGGAAAAAAAAAAAAAAAAAAACGTCGTCGGTCGGTCGTGGATTATCCAACTGCTCTGAACGTGTAATCTTGGGAAGCGCGTGCACTTATTTGCATCTTTATTTTTCTCTCTTGAATCTAAAGCAAACGATTGCGCCTTAAAGTATATGCACGCCAAGTGCCGCTATGTACGAAAGGCCTTGGGTGGGCTTCCAAAAATTTTTAACGCTGTTCTGGTTGTTTTGCATTCGTAGATGAAAAAAAAAAAAAAAAAAAAAAAATTAATAGCGTACAAATGCATGGACGTGTTTTGTAGCGATGACTTGATGGAAATCGACCTAGTGTGACAGAAAAAAAAACCCGGAAGGCCAGCGTGGTAATAGTGTGTGGAAAGTGATGATGCATTTTCATATTCTGGTTAAAGTGGAATTGAATGCACATATCGTGAGGAAGGGGGTTGGATCGATGATCCCTGACTCGGTATCGTATATTTTTCAGCTATAGGATTCTGCCCTTCATTTTCTAGTACCCCGTGCACATGCAACGAAAACATCGAAAAAAGAAAAGAGCAATGTTTTTTTTTTTTTTTTTTTCTTTTTTTTGTTGTTNTTTTTTTTTTATTTTTTTTTTTTTTTTTTTTTTTTTTTTTTTTTTTTTTTTTTTTTTCACACCCACGTGTGTAGTTGTGGCAATAGACCATGATAACATACCTTTGTGGAAGTTGGCCTCGACAAACTCGACAAAGTCGTCGGCCCAGTTCTTGACGCTCTCGGCGAACGGCGCTGCCTGCATCGTCCTGCTGAGGTTCAGGATCTTGGGAAACTGCCTGACAAAGTCCACGTCGCTGACAAAGACGTTGGCCTCGAAACCGACCTTGGGAAACTCGCTCTCCCTCACGGCCAGGTACTCGCTGAGATAACTAAAAAAACCCCCCATCGTGAAATCGTCGCCCGTGACAACGAACGACAAGACACATCGAACATTTATATACGTACGAGTCTTTCGGGAGGAACCACATGGGATCGAACCACTGCTCCAGCCGAGTCGAGCCCACGGCGCCGAGGGCAGCGAGAGCCACCGTGACGGCCACAATGGCCAGTTTCCCGGGCGTGGTGAGGACCACGTTCACGTAGAGGGCGTCAATCACCTTCCACGAGACGGACTCGTGGGGCCGCTTGGTGGGCGAGCCGAAACTCGGGTGGGTCACGCACGGCAGCAGCCCGTTGCGCTTGCTCTCGGCGCGCTCGCAGTCCAGGGTGAAGAACGCCACGAAGAACGTCACTTGCAGCACGAACGTCACCAAAACGCCCACGGCCGCGTATATGCAGAACGAGTTCAGGGACGGGAGGATCTGAAATCGTTGTTGGTGTCGCGCTTAAGTATATATACTTTTGCCCATATATGTGGAGTCATACATGTGCTATATAGGGTAGCGATTGGTAACTCACGGTCGAGGCGCCGATGACGAATGCAACGACGTCGGTGAGCGAGGTGACGGATATGGCGGCGCCGGCGTGACTCAGGGCCAGAGCCACTCGCTCGGGTAGGGGTTTGCCGAGGTGCCTGAGTTGCGAGTTGACCTCCTCCCACGAGGCCATCATCACGAAGGTGTCGTCGACGCCGAGGCCCATCAGCATGAAGGGCAGGGACGTGTGCACGGGCCCGTACGGGATCCCAGCCAAGGAGCACAAGCCGATGGCAACGATGAACGCCCCAGTTATGCAGAACATCGCCACGAACGTCAGCCAGAACTTGCGTTTCAAGTATCATATTATAGAAGTATAGCTCACCTCGTCTTGTGTGTGCAATTGAAGGAGGGGGGGGTGGGGGGGTAAGTGACTTACTCGCAACTCGATCCAGTTGAACTTTGACAGGATGAGCATCACGTAGATGGACATGATGACGATGCCGAGCACGAGTTTGTCGATGTCGTGGAAAATGCTGTCGCTGCTTATGTCGCCAAAGCTGCGCCCGGCCTCGTAGTACACCGAATACGCATCGCTGCTGTCGTTGGATTTTTCTCGTCTCTGGTTCAGCTCGACCTGAGCCTCCTCGAGCTCGCGGAGAAAAGAACCCTCCCACTCGTACACGTCCCTCGTCGTCTGCGGGGTCGCGTCGCCCATTCCGGAAACAATAACAGGGATTCGCGAGATGGGTAAAACAACAGTAGGGACAAAAAGAGCCCAATTACCCAGTCTGCGGTGCCGGCGTCGTTTCCCGTTTGGTCCATGTCGACGCCGGTGAAGTTGACGTGGACGATCCACCGCGTCTTGACAGCCCTGGCCTTGACGATCCTCCCGCTATCGTCCCGGGTGACACCGCCCAAAAGTTCGGTGAAATTCATGGGATGGCCCAGGGTCGGGCTAACCCTGGCGGCGTTGAACCTGTCGACTATTCCCTCCTTCGTCATCGAGCCTATCAGAGTCGAGTTGAACTCCCAGATGTCCATAATACTGAGCAGGTAGCAGCCACTCGGCAGGCTGTTGATGATCTCGCAGTAGAACCTCGGGGGCAGGTGGGCCGCCGGATCGAAGCCCGGCTTGTACGGGTTTGCCGGGTCCCCGAGCTGCTGGGAGATGACGGTGACTATAGGAACTCTGGAACCACACACGGACCTTTTTAGGGACCACAAAGGGGGGAAAGGGAATAAAGATAGATAGATGGATGGATTGTTGGGCGCACTTGAAACAGACGTCCGTCCAGGCGATCTTTGGCGAGTTTTGGCTCTGCGCGTCAATGAGCCGCGCCGTGATCTCGTTGAGCCGGAGAAGGGCGCGCGGCTCGAGGACGTCGTCCGCGGTGAATATGAAGCTCTCGATCTTCACGCCCTCCTGGAAGGTCGACATGAGCCACTCGGTGTCGCGGATAAAGTCCGAGTCCGGGGGTACCCACAGTTTAAGGGGGTTTTTTTCCTGGCGGAAGCGCAGGGCCCCGCCGATACAGAGCACCACTAGGATCGAGCAACCGAGCATCCATCGTTTCGGCCGCCTGGCTATCTGGAGTCCGAGACTTGGAAAATATAACAAAAAGTGGGGAGGGACCCCACGTTGGGATGCTTTTTCAATCCTTTGCCACACGAGCACTCCCGGTCTCCGACCGCACTCACTTGTAATAGAAGCTCTCCACGCGGAGGGATATCGCCTGTGCGACGCGGTACAGTTTGCCCAGTTGAGGCCTTTGCTCCGTCTTTTCCTCTATTTCCATGGAATTGACGTTTCGGCGAAGCGGGGGTCGCGTTCCTGCATCAAAGATGCAAACACAAGTTTACAAGGAAACAAAGCGCTCGAGTAATATATATAGCAACATTCGATCGACCGGCACGCACTGGGTTGCATTACGAGTTTGTTTTTCAACTTTTCGTCGATAAATCAATTTAATCATAAGTTATTGCGATGGTAAGAATAATATGGAAGCAATTTGCGATGAATAAACTAAAGAAACGTGTAAAGAAGTGGCAAACCTTCCCGAGCGTCGCAAGTGTATACACGAGAAATGCTAAAAGCTACGAGAGTTTAAAACCCGATCAAACACGTGTAGGGGAGGAGCGGGGCGATGTCATACTGCGGGGTAAGATGTATTCGCATGCTGCAAACGGTTCATGTAGGTTTTTTCATTTTTTTTTTTTTT